CCCCAGTCAAACACCCGTTGCCTTCTTAACATCCCTATATGTGCAGTTCTAAATTTTTCTTAGAATAAACCCTGTCATTTTCCAAGCTCATTCTTCACTTGGAGCGTGGGAAATGACGCCTGCATGGGTTCGCAGACTGTCCTACAAGGGTTGTTTCCAGATACAGCGGCAGCGCTGAGAAGTTATCAGCCCCGTGCTTGAAAACTGCTACTGTTGCCCCTAACTGCTACTGTTGCGAAATATACTTCTATATGAAAAAGAAACAGAACAAGCATGAGTAATAAAAAATATATTGCCATTCATACCACTCAATAAATGGAGGTATAAAAACGCTGAAACAGTTTCATCTAACAATATTAACCGATTCAAAAAATTAATGTTAACAAGTTCATTCATTGCTATGATAACTAACATTAATACCGAATAGGTTTATGCTGTACAAATATACTTTACAAATTTAAAAACATAGATTTACACGCATCGAAAGCTCGATGATTCTTTTCATGCGTCAAAATCTCAGTTTGATGAACAAGATGTGTTCGCACTGCTTGTTCGTAGCAACTTGTAGCAGATCTGTGACCGCGTAAACAACCTTGTACAAGTAACAAGGTGATAACAACTCGTCCCAGACTTGTCACAACAACTGGGAACAAGCAGGGCGAACACGTCCTGATATCGGCTTGACAACAACCCTGCAGTTACAACTTTGTTACAACATAACAACTTGCGCATTAGTACTAGGGAGTATATACGCATGCAATTAAAAGCTAGCAGGGGTTTTAGATGTCGTCCAAGACTCCAAGCTATTGACAACGGGATATTTTCACGTCTTGTGTAATACACTGACCTCTAAAGGTTAATATAAACTATACTTTACTCATTGAAATGAATATAACTGGAATGCTACCTTCATATAAATTGCCTATCTTTTTCTTGAAGCGAAATTTTACCTCCAGACACGCGTGCTGGAGGTAAGATTACGCGTGTTTATATCATCATTGACTGATTGAGCACTCTTCGCATGCGTGAAAAGACTGGGACTGGCCTTCAAGTTGGCTTCAAATTTCCGGTCGGAGGTAGCATTTCAGTTTGTTTTTTTCATTTCAATGATTTTACTACTTTTTGTTTGTGGAAACACCACGTAAATTTATTACTGCAAAGCGTTCGATCAGTAAGCCCGGATCTTCATCAGTGCTAATAATGAATGTATTAATTTATTAGCACTGATGAAGATCCGGGTTTACGGATCGAAATCTTTGTAGTAATAAATTTACGTGGTGTTTCCACAAACAAAAGGTATTATATGTTTTATCACCATGTCCATGCAAACCTACAAGAACTTGGGTTTTCAAAACCCAGGGTTTTTGTTGTTCAGAAGTACGAATTTGACAATTTGCTGAAACCACTTTTCGCGTTCGAGTTGCGAACAGAACAAGGAAGGCGTCAAAAACCTATGTCGGATTTTCGTTATTCATTTCTTTTCTTAAATTCATGAATTCATTTTAATAATAGCTGTCCTCGTCAAGTGCCATCCAACATCGTAAAGTCTCTCGACATTTGTAGGGTACCTCGACCTTGATAATTTCGGATATCACATGCAAAAATCTCATATCAACACACTTTTATACTAATGTTACGACTTATACATATTAGATAATTTGAAAATTTTAAAAATGCTAGATGCGTGACCAGGATTCATAATAAAATTTCTGAAACGTTCTCTGATCGTAACTTTTTATTTAAAACACGAGCTTTCGACTGCCAGTCTACAGTCTTCGACAGGTAAAGTGATATAATTTATACTGGCAATCGAAAGCTCGTGTTTTAAATAAAAATTTACGATCAGAGAACGTTTCAGAAACTTTAATTTGAAAATTGATTCTAAATTTTAAAACAAGTGATATTTGAACTTATATATACATAAATATCCTAAAAGTGCCCTAGAAATATAATTACAATGAAAAGTGTACATGTATATATATATATACATGCAGAACTGAGTACCCTGAGCCAATAATTTGAAACCGGAAGGCTGAATAAATCTTTCGTGGTGCCTTTTTAAGCGATAAAAATGGACTTTCCTTGCAGGGTAAAGATGACATAATTGAGTCCACGACGTAATTGTTCACCTGTCAATTTTATCTTCAAACGGAAATGTTTTCAAGATTGTGCCCATTGCTTTTGTTCTACCTTGACGGAAAAATATCTTGCAACCAGTTCTGATAAACTCTGGATTTCTCAGAAATCTGAATGTTACGGTCGCCCATTGGCCAGTTTTCAGAGGCTGGAAAAAATTCAAAAAATATATACGCTATCTTTAGTGCAAACGTATAGATGTGATTAGCTTGCATGTGCTATTTAACGTGACAACAAAGAGGAAGTATTTTATTTCATGTGAAAGGAGGGAAAACATTCTTATAATCGTATGAAGTTGAGAAAACAATATTTAGAAGAAAATATTAACTATCCGTTGGAGTTTTGCATTATTAGGTGATTTTGACAATAATTTGAACAGTTCCACTTTGTTAAAACAAGCGAATATACTACAAGCCATTTTGTTTCGGCTTGGGGCTTTGGCAATACAGTTTGCATGACATTTTATAGCCTGCAAACAGGCGTTTATTCAGGCGGGTCTCGTAACTGAATAAACGCCTGTTCGCAGGCTAGACTTTTTATAGACCGAACTTCGGCCCAAAACTGTATTGTGGCAGCCTGATTACATCGGCAGCTGAAAGAAAGTGACGACTACTGTATATTGAGAATTAGCCTGGGATTGTTGAACCAACCAGGAATAAGAATAACGTTTAATAATTTCAGGTCCAGCCTGCATGCAGGCCAATATGAAGGCGTTATGGACGAAGTAGCTGTACCTGTGACATCTTCTCGATAGCGACTGTCTGGACAATTTTTCCCACGTGTAACGTGCCTTGAAAACGTTCCGATAACTCACTGGTATGGAACAACAGGAATAGTTTGGCTTCGATAGCAGACGAACAGGCAGGTTTCATACTTTGAGGAACCAATGCCATTCCCTATAAAAAATGTTTCAAACACCACTTAGAAAACAATCACAGAACATTTTGTGTCGTCTTTAATTTACGTCCATAATTATAGGCACAATAGAAATTCGTCAGTATAGTAGAAATACTATATAGAGGATATTACACGGCGGCGCGAAGATATGACTTTTTATCTTCGAGTGGTGAAAACAATATTTTACGAACGAGCGCAGCGAGTGAGTAAAATATTGTTTTTAACACGAGAAGATAAAAGTCATATTTTCAAGCCACCGTGTAATATTCTGTTTATTATATAGTCCCAAGCAAAAAATTGTATAAATACTAAAAGTCACGTGATCGATATCTTCACTAGTGAAGATATGGAAAATATGTCACTGTGTATTTCTCAGTATCTCACTCTCTACTATATAATAAAGATGGTTACTGTAAAGGCCATGTTACATATGAAGTAATTTTTGGTGCAACTTGCAATGCTGAAAAATAACTTCACAAGTTGCAGTGACATGTCAGAGGAGTGTAACTTGTTTGTCAGACGAGTGCAACTTGTTTTGCGATCTAAATGCGACTATATGCAGTGAGGGTGTTAGAAGCTGCAATTTGTCGCGCATGATTTCAAAAAGTAGAAGCAGGTCCGACTTTCTCTGCAATTCGCAACATACTATTTCATTGTGAAACCAGTTGCAATCAAGGGGCGCCTACACAAGGCAATATTGCTTGCCTGCAACTTGCAATGTGACAGAATGCGTTACCTTGCAAGTTGCAGAAAAAATTGCCTCGTGTAACATAGCCTAAATCTTCAGGCGACATATTACAATGATTAGAAACAATCGATATCAATATTATTGCAGTCATTCATTTAAATTGCTCCTTACATGGTCGAATACAAATAATTGCAAAAAGTCCTATACAACACACAACTATATTGGCAGCCAAAATAAGTGACCAAAAACAAACAAGTTGTTGCGCTTATTATTATTATAAGGGTATAACATAAATTGTAAAATTAATAGATTATTCCAGCTATACTCCTTTAGACTAAATTTTCATCTAGGAAAGAAGAACAAAATCCATCACCACAGCTAGAAAGAGCGTGTTAAAATTAGTAAAATTGCAAAGTTTGACCGCGAAATTCTCCATTGAATATTTTAAGGATGCCTATTGCTATGATTAATATTGTAATGATAATTGGTATTATATAGATATTCCTAAAAACAAATTATTCTCTAATACTATATAATCCCCAATGAAAGCCTACCTGAAACATTAGCTATTTAACAGTTATTCTACGAACTCGAGTCGAATATGAGCTGATAGCCGATGAGGCGCGTAGCGCCGAATCGGCTATCGCTCATATTCGACGAGAGTGAGTGGAATAACTGTTTTATTATATACACAAGGTCTGAATTTACAGACTTTGCTTTTCTGTTATTTTCAATATTTTTCTATTTTGTTTATGTTTTTATCTTAATCGCTTTTTCGGCCGATTATTTTTTCAAAAATATATATTTTTAACCATTTTAAATTTTAAATATTCATTTGCTAACCTGTAAACAATTTGTGGGAGTTTTTTCATTGTGTTTTTAATCCTGAAAGGGCTATAAAAAACGAACAACTTGCTGTTTTCTTGTTCGCAAGACATCGGAAATTCAATTTTAGCCGCCATTTTGTTTTTCTCTCCTAGCAGGATATGAGCTAATATCCTGCTAGTAGAGAACTAGCCTGCGTGCAGGCCCAAGGGAACTGATAGTGGGCCTGCAACCATCGCCCGGTATTTTGTAAAACGCCCCTTTTCATAACACGCCCCATTCGCGCGTCAATTGTCAAAAAAGAACCAATGACAGCACCCAAATATTAACAAACAAACTCGCATTAAAATGTTGCGGGGTTTTCTCTGCTTATTCAGAACACTAATAAACAATGCGTAAATGGCTGCGTTTTAACTCCAAAAAAGCAAGCAACGCAGTCAGTAATTGCCAAATTTGCAAGTGCTCATTTTCAACTAAAATCGGAACAGGCAAATTAAGACGAATTTCTACAGAAAATCAGTCTCAAACTTCAAATCATGAGGGAAGTCGTGCGACCACATTAGGATTTATATTATGTGTGCTTCGCTGTCGCCATTGGCATTAATTGTTATAAATAAATTGTCTCACTTATCAGATCGTGTGTGCAATTCTTGTTAGCGACGGAAAGTACGAAATTTATTTCAGTTATTTCATTTGGTAAAGAACTCTACAAAAGAAGAGAGCGTTTTGAGTCCAGATCGTTTCGTTTCGAACGGCAATTTAATACCGCCTTCTGTTTCGCTCTCTCAGCGAAGCCTTGTAAATCGCAAAGTGTTTCGAATAGGCTTACAGTCCTTACTTGCAACTGCATCTCAACATCAACCAAAAGATAATTTTCTTGAGGAAGTGAGAACACATATACGTATCAACTGAAGTCTGTTTGAAATTAATGAAACTCAAGTAAAGGTTACTATAGTTTGCCCCAGTCGTAATTTGCTATTCCAACACCTCACGACGAGCAATCCCCATTGGCATAACGGCAAAAACATGTCTTCCTTCAAGTAAACAATAAACAGTCTGTTCTTGGTCCATTTGTAATCGAAAAAAGTTATCAATTTTCAAATTTTACGCTTATCGAGAGCCTTTGTTTATGCCTTTGTGATGAATCACTGTTCCCTTGGGCCTGCACGCGGGCTAGGTTAATTAATTACCGATCGCCTCAGCTAGCCAATGGGAATTTAGCCGGCGGTTCGGCCGGCGAAAACATGGGGTGATGGTTGCAGGCTGTCTCTCACCCTCAGACAGCCTGTACGCAGGCTATACATAAACAAAAGGAATATTGTTCTTGCTTCGTTTTTTTAGAAAATCCAATCAATAGCTTATTCTTTTCTCTTTGTCATAATCAGCCAATCACAGAACATCCTCCTAGAGCTTCGTGCATGCCGACCCAATTTTGGAAGTATTGCACGGTTAATTTTGGGAAGTCATTTTAACTCCAAAAGTGGAGTAAGAGAAAAGAGATACAGAACATAGTCGCCGTTTATCAACGGCGAATGTAAAATGTCTTGCGAAATGCCATCCGAAATAAGACAGAATGGCATGCGAACTGGAATTTTTTTAACTCTATCTCTAATACTGCATGTACCAATCATAAGCTTAATCATGAACCCCAATCGTAACTAAGTTTTGACGATCATCAATTGATGCGATTTTTATTTGTGAAATATACAATAAAAACTGTCAATACAGTTTGTCACTTGTGCTGTTGCTATAACGATTAAAGCTTTTAAATTTCGTGCGCAAGCCATTTTTAGTTTGTTGGAAAAGAAACACCCCCTGGTTTACTCAATTTGTTTGAAACACCCCCCTGGTTTACACAGTTGGAGTATTTTTTCATTATTCTACATTATCGGGTACTTTAGGAATCTATATAAAACAAAACCACGAGCTGTTTTGCGAAATTGAGAGCAATTTCAAATCTGTTCAGTTTTTTTTATACACCCTGTATAATAAATAATGCAATCCTTCAGTTTAAGTATTTTAAGTTAATGGATGGAACATTTGTTCGGTTTTTAATTTTACTGAACAACATTTCAGACAATTTACTTTAGTTTATTCTACATTATAAGTACCCAAAAAGCAATATATATATATATATATATATATATATATATATATATATATATATATATATATATATATATATATATATATATATATATATATATATAAAACTGGATACCAATAGCTGTTTTGCAAGATTGGGAGCAATTTCAAATATGTTTAGTTTTTTTTATACACCATGTAGGTTCACGTGCATATTTACGCTCGAAACTGCAATTCCAGGAGAAAACTGGGTAAATTCGGTCAAGAGAAGCAAGATTAGTTCGAGATAGCGGAGAGTTCGAGATAACCGCGTGAAAGTGATTGAAGTAGTATTTATGGCAAATAGACCGTATGCATAATTACGTCACAAGGCTTGATGCCCGCGAGGAATGCTAGTTTAGTAGTTATCGCCCGTGAAAATTTAGATGGTGGCCATTTTGAATTGTTTAATTTTCCCTGGCGATGACCAGCATTCCTAGCGTGCATCAAGCCTTGTGACGTCATAATACATAAGGTCTATTGACCGAGAATGGGTTTAAGTTGGAAAAAGCACGGGAGTTCGAGATAAGCGAATTCGACATAGCGGCGTTTTTCTGTATAAGAGAACCTAGCCTCCTCCGTAGGCATCATTATAAGATACCTGCGGAGGAAGCTAAAGAGAATCTTGGTAATGCACCCTTCCAGAAAGTACTTTTTTGCTATGGGACCTCGTTTTCACAGGATTGAGATATTGGCTTTAGAGTCCTTTATTTTCTCACCTACAACTCAATTCTATAACTGCATAATTTTGTAAATGTGTCACCTGTAAGAAGATCAATGGCACTAAAGCCAATATCTCAATTCCAAAATACGAGGCTCTGTACCCAAGGAGGCTAAGCACTTTCCACAATAGTGTATTTATTTCAAACGGCTGTATCATATTCTGTAACTTCGAATTTGTCGAGTCTCCAGCAGCATCATGGTCCCATGCAACAACGCATCGGATTGACAAACATACTTTATATGCGTCTACTGTATAGTAGACGCTATATGCAATCGACTTTGAGTCTGGCTGGACATTTAATAATTTTTGGAGATTCCCCAATGCGTACGCGTATAGCCATAAATGGTTCGATCATGTGACGCCATGCACGCGTAAATGCACTTTGCCAATCAGGTCAATATTTATTAGAAATATTTCGTATCGAAATACAATATCATGAATATTATTACATTATTGCAAACCCCTCGCCCAGATAATAAAGTAGTAAAAGTACTTGAGAAATTTCTCGTTAAGCCCTATTGTTATTAGCGAGAAAGCTATTGCGGCGAATAAATAGCAGTTTTTGCGAATATTTGATGTTATATGCCGCGGTGGCGAAGAGGTTTCAATCTGGTCGAGCAGTTTTTCTGAAAAAAATTAAACTTTTAGTTTAGTCTTTAGAATACAAAATTCTAAACAATTTTTTTTGAAACCCAGCCGGGAAGTTTTTAATTTAGAGCCTCGTGAGAAATCTGCAATTTGCATAATTAGTTGCTGGAACTTGGACTGTCGGCGACAATCGGGTTTGCCCTTCGGTTTTTCTCCAAATTATGTAATCTGCCTATGCTCGAAATTACGGCAACCCTGAAAAAACAGGATACGTATAAACGAAAGTTATAAGACGAATTCTTTTAAATTTGCACTATCTTGCATGCAGTTTGGTACGCTGTTCGGTGCCCACGAAGTTCACCAGGTGTCACGCGTGTAAACCAGTAGTATTTCAGTCGTTTCGCGATCAAAGTATTGTGATTTTAACGGGGAAATCTTCTGTGAAGTACGCATATTTTTCTCAGAGTTAGAGTGGGCAACGAACACTTTGTACTCGCAGATCGCAAGTGACACAAAATTTATGATTCCACCGCAATTGCAAATAATGTAGTGCGAACGGCCAATGCATTTTAGAACATACCACAACACAAATATATCATGTAGCGTGTAGGTTTGGTAACTTGCGTTTTAGTTGACTATTATTTAGCGCAAACGGTATTAATTTAAGCTTGGAAAATTATGATTTTTGACAAAACAGACGCGCTAATACACCAGTAATAGCCCAATTTAAATTCCTTTGCAATTCAATACGATGTTCATTATTGTCGCGCATGCAAATAACAAACACATTTTAACTATTAGCGCAAACTGCCAGGCGAACTGCAAACTTCAAGAATCAATATTTTCGAAAAGAAACAAACGCGCTCTTTAGTGGTATACTTCTTGTACACCACGGATTTTTAAAGTTGCGCCGCTCAACGGTCCGTGGAGCTTCTTGTTTTTAATATGTCAGCTGTCAACGCTAGGGCTCCAAATAATGCAAGTATATCAACTATCAAGTATGGAAAAATGATTGTCATGTATTTTAGGCAAGAGAACGTGTGGTTCCATCTTCAATTAGTTACTGATGTTTAATTTGAAGTTAACTCAATTAGTGAGCAACAGTTCGAATGAATTTGTGTATACTAGCTGGATTCCGGCATAATTTACCTTGTTCGCGTAAGTATGAGGCTACGTCCACACTAATCCGTTTTCGTATTGTTCTTCATTCACCAGGGAATAGAGAACAAAGGTCCAAGTACCTGCAATGATACGAAAACGCTACGAAAACGGAATTAGTATGGACATAGTCTGCCATGCAGATGTTTAAGATCACTTATACGTGGGCGGGCGTAAAAAGGTTTAATTGCTCATATGGGCGACACTTTCTTGCACAATAACTTTCTTGCACAATAATTCTTTCTTCAACAGTTCGTCAACAATAAGAGTTCACTAAATGAGCAATTTATGCAAGGGTGAGAGTTCCCCAGCGAAGAGAGTTTTTCAGTAGTTGAGTACTACCTGAGAAATTTAAAACAAGGGTGAGAGTCCACCAAGGTTGTCACCACATGTCTGAGCGGGAGTTCGCTAGACAAACGATAGTTACTTTGATGAGAATTCAGCGAGATTATTGCATGTGTCCGAAAAGGGAGTTTGCTGTACACGCTATATATAGTTACTTTCGTATTTTGACTTTGTTGGAAACTATTCGACACACGTG